CTGTCAGAATGATACGGAGAATGACAAACGGTCGCAGCAACATATGAAACAGCCAGACCAGCAGCAGCTTGACCAGGAGCAGGAGCAGGAGCAGCAGGGGGCGCAAGAGCAGCAGCAGCAGAAGGAGCAGCAGGATGGTGTGGGTCCAATGGGGGCTGCAGTAGCTGAGTGTGTGAGCAACCACACTCCTTGCACCCCTCTGCAACCTGTAATCAGGTCTCCTCCGCTTATAACCAGCCCTGCTCCAGATGTAACCAGGCCTGCCCTAGATGTAACCACCCCTGCTGCAGGTGTTACAGGCACAGCAGCAGCAGATGCGCCCAGCTCTGCCCCTGTAGGAGGGGCCAAAGGTGGAGGTAGGGTAATGGGTGTGAGTGGTAGCGGAGGCAAGACTATCAGGTACAGAGGGAGGAAGGCAGCTGGGTTGGCGGCAACTCTCGCTCTGATGAGGCAGGGAGGGGGCATGTGAGGGGGGATGGTCTAGGTCTATTAATGCCGTTCCTCCACTGCCTGGCCCTGAACCTGCTGTCTTGCCCCAATTGTGCACGGATTGGCCTGGCGACCTGTTGAGGGTTGAGGACTGAGAGGGGGTGGGGGAGAGAGATACACTTGGTAAAGAGGAGTTAAAGGTAGTTAAAGAGGAGGGATACAAAACTGTTTTGATTTGGGGAAATATCACATTAAATATTCGAATACATAGGTTTCCTCTACCATATAAACCACTGAACAAGACCACACTTCCAACATCCATGTCTCCACCCAAATCCTTATCTCATAGCTACTCATGCCCGTCCGTTTACACTTCATCTTTCTCCTCTTCATCCTCCCCTTCTTCTTCCTCCCCCTCCTCGTCCTCCTCCTCATCCTCCTCCCCCTCCTCCTCCTCCCCCTCCTCCTCCTCCCCCTCCTCCTCCTCCCCTTCCTCCTCCATCCCCTCATCCTCCTCCCCCTCCTCCTCTGCCGACTCCTCACCCTCGTCATACTCCGCAGACCCTGGAGAGTCAAGGCTGTTCTCTGCTGCCATCTCCAACCCCCCTTCAAAACCCTCCCCTCTGTTGAGCACTGCCGGCCAGTTGTGTGCAATGTAAGCCAGATCGCGGCACTTTTCCGCACCCAGCCTTTTCCGTCGGATGGTGTGTACCGAATCCCAAGCTGTCCTGTTCCAATCGCAGGAAGCCGCAGACACGGGCTGAGAGAGAACACGGCATGCAAGGGCCGTTATCACCGGGTGGTCAGAGCCATGAGTAGTCCACCATTGCACCATGCTGAGCCTCCCTTCCTTCACCGCATCCCGCTCAGCCCGTGCGTCACACGAGTGAAATCTACCTTGCATCAAATCCGTGAATGCAAAAAAACCGCCCACCAGGGCCGACTCAGCACTTTGCTCCCCTCCCTCCATCCCATCCTGCGCAAGGAAATTGCTATGGCTGCTGATGAAATTCTTGAAGGCCCTTGATATCACAGGGTCCGTTCCAAAGATCCCCCTACCATGTTTGCCCGGATTGAGGATCTGGCCCACCACGTGCAAAGTACACGCAAAGCTCCCGTGCCACCTCTCCTTCACAAGCCTCGAAATTTGATCCTTCTCCGCTTCACTCAACAACTCCCCATCTCCCTTCAGTACCTCATCCACATCTTCTGTCAACTGCCGCATCGTGTCATACATACGGCCCATCGTTGACTTGCCGCTCGAATCAACCGCCTGCATCACCACAAACACGAGCTTCATCAGCTTCACGAACAACTCAGCAGCCTTCCACCACGCTGCGTCCCCGACACACGCGGCGAATCCCTCCGCTTCCGCCTTCACCTTCTGCTTCGTCCCCGTAACCCACACCTTCCACGCATCGCTCTCCACCATCCGCGTCAGCTGTGCCCGAAGCTCACAAAGGCTAGACACGGCAATGAACTGTGTTCCGAACCTTGCGTTTTGCGACCTCAACACTTGCAACACCTTGCCATCGGGCTGACCTGTGCTCCTCAGGTAAAAGCGGATCGCTTCGCCGTGGTTGCGGAGAAACCCAATAAGCTCATCCGTCCTATCAACCACCCCCTTGGCCCATGCCATCTTCCCTATGTCTTCCATCATCCGATTCAACACATGCGTTGCGGAAGGAACGTACTCAATGTGCGGCCACTCGCGCATCAGTTCTCGGCAAGAGTCGGCGTAGCTACTCTCGCCGTCCATGCAGAGAGCAACGATGTTCTCGGGCCCCACCTTCTCCACAATCGGTCGCAACATGCTGACAACGTAGCCGGATGTATTGACATCCATGCTCTCCATGAACACTCTGCCCGAGTCGTTCACGAGCCACACATTCGCTTGCGACCGGCCGCGCTTGTCAGTCATTGTGTCAATCGCGAGGGTGACGCCATGCCGCTTCCAGCTTGCTGCGACGGGCTCCAGCTCCTGCTCGATCAATACCCGGGACTGCTGCAATCCGGAGCCACCAACGTGGCGGCGATCAGGGGGGATGTAGCCGCTTCCCGCACGCGCAATGGCTTGCACCGCGTTGCGCCAAAGCGGGTGATCGGCGAGGTGCGCGGGGAGGCAGAGGCCGGCGTAGAGGAGGCTGATCGCCTCATCCGCCGCATTTTTGGCATCTAACGCCGTGTCTTCCGAGAAATCAGTCATGCGAATCCTCTTGGCGCCTCCATTCACTGTGCTAAAGGACGTGCTCTCCACCCTTTCCGTATGTTCCTGGACGGCCTGTTTTGTCATATACGCCATCCATAAGAAGGAAGTGGGTGGGAAGAATCAGTCATGCGGCTCCTCTTGGCGCCTCCATTCACCGTGCTGAACGAAGTGCTTTCCACCCTTTCCGTTTCTTCCCGAGCGACCTGGTTTTGTCATTTATGTCATCCATACGGGGGAAGTGGGCGGGAGTGGGAGAGACAAGGCGTGAGGATGCAGGGGAGAATGGGAGCGGGAAATAAGGTGAAGCAGCAGCGGGGGATGGGATATGAGCGTGAGGTTGCAGGGGGGAGTGGGACGGGGAAAGGAAGGGTGAGGATGCAGAGGGGAATGAGATGGGGAAAGGAGAGTTGAGGCTGCAGAGTAAAATGGGATCGGGACAAGAGACATACGCAGCAAGGGGGAATGGGCGCGGGAGACGAGGGGTGAGGCTGCAAGGGAGGATGGGATCGGGAGACGAGGGGTGAGGTCGCTATGAAAGCTGTGTTTACAAAGGGCAAGACGGCAGGTAGAGGAAAGGCGACATTTGAGGGAAAGGTTTTCGAGTTAACTTAAAACAATGCTCTGGGTCGGCTCAAAACGATTCTCCGGGCAACTTATAAAGAGGGGATTGGAGCGGGAGAGAGGGAGGGTGAGGGTGGAGAAAACCGAGATTACGAAAATCGGAACGGCAGTAACGGGAGGGGACGAGGAATTCTACTGCGTTAGCCTGAGAAATTCGTACCATTGTGGAAATAACCCTAACGCCGCGTGCCAACGAACTTTCGTTTGTCTCCACACTGAAAAGCGTATTAGTTCTAGACGTCGCTAAGCATGACATGAATGCGAGGGACGATGCTTCTGCTACTGCTGCTGCTGCTCCTACTGTTGCTGCTGAGGACATTCCCTAGGTGGTGCAGAGCTTCTTCGCAGATCGCGCTTTCATATGCAAATTGGTGAATACCGACCAGTTCAAAGCCGTAAGGATCACAACCGAACCGAACCACATTGCACTGCATCGTGTAAATCGCTTCAAAACTGAAACTGATCACTTCTGACTGACGCGCTGTTCGGGAATTGGCGGGAAATGCCTCAGCTCAAATGTTTCGCCAACTGTAGCTTGTTATGGTGCAAACAAATAAGCGCACATGATCAAGTCCACTGCCATTTGAATAAATGAATAGCTCCGCAGTAGCAAAAACTGCCTTGGCATATCTTTTTATCGAAATGTTTGACATTGACATGGGTATATCTTGAATAACTGCAGCAAATTCAACTCATTCCACTAACCAAAAGGTTTCGTAATTCAGGAAATAGGGGTGTGGTTTAATGTTCACTTGCAGAAGACGGAGAAACTAAAAAACCACACAGCGCACTCACGCGCACACAAACACATCACGCAAAGAACAAGATTATTGAAGGCACACTTGCTCACATGGAGCAATTATTGAGTCACTCAAGTGGGTCGCAACAAATGCTTATTAAGGCAGGTCATTCATTGCATATGGTGTTTCGTGACCTTTGTAACCTTCATCTTCACTGCACCTTCCACCCCCCAAACTCACGCCAAATCTTCCCTCTCCTCCTTTCCCACCTCTTGGTCCTCCTTCTCGAGTTCCAGCTCCAGTAAAACCTGACCTGTGCCTCCCAAGCTTGCCTGTTGAGTCAACTACGAACTCTCCCCCCCGTCTCTTGATCCTCTAAGGGTACATTCTTGCCTCGTGTCTGACATCAGGTCATCCGTCCTTAGTCTCTGATTCGCCTCTTCCCAAGTTGATTTGCCCCTATTTCGAGCCACTTCGGGTCTTCCGAGCCTCCAAGGGCGGATGACCTGATGTCAGACACGAGGCAAGAATGTACCCTAATTCTCAACTTCCAGCCCCGGTATAACCTGAACTCCTCCTCCCAATCTTGCCACGTCTCACATCTCCTTGCTCGGGGCACTGTCACTCGTCCAACCCGTGGTCGACCCCCCTGCTCTCCACACACCCTCGCTGCTGCTGCTCGTGTACCCTCCACCGCCCACACTCCCAGAAACCCCTCCCGTTCCCTGCCTTCCCTGTCCCTCTCCCTTCGCCCCCGTCATCTCCTCGTAAACCTCTTGACCGTACTCCATCTCCTCATCGTCATCATTGAAGCCTGGCACCAGAGCCCCTTCGTTTGCCATGTTCTCCCAGAATCGCTCCTCACTAACCGCACTCGTACCCGTGCTAAAAGCAGTGCTGGTAGCACCAGTGGTACTAACGCCAGTGCCAGCACCAGTGCTAGCGCCACTGTTGAAAGTAGCAGAAGAGACACCAGTGCCAGCACCACTAGCACCAGCACCAGCAGCAGCAGCACCAACAGCATTACCACCACCACCATCAGCACCACTGCCAGCACCACTGTCACCGCCACCAGCACCACCACCACCACCTCCTCCTCGGAGCCTCGGAGCCTCGACTCAAAAGTCACCAGGTAGCCCTTGGGAGGGGGGAGTCGACTCAAAAGTCACCAGGTAGCCCTTGGGAGGGGGGAGTCGACTCAAAAGTCACCAGGTAGCCCTTGGGAGGGGGGAGTCGACTCAAAAGTCACCAGGTAGCCCTTGGGAGGGGGGAGTCGACTCAAAAGTCACCAGGTAGCCCTTGGGAGGGGGGAGTCGACTCAAAAGTCACCAGGTAGCCCTTGGGAGGGGGGAGTCGACTCAAAAGTCACCAGGTAGCCCTTGGGAGGGGGGAGTCGACTCAAAAGTCACCAGGTAGCCCTTGGGAGGGGGGAGTCGACTCAAAAGTCACCAGGTAGCCCTTGGGAGGGGGGAGTCGACTCAAAAGTCACCAGGTAGCCCTTGGGAGGGGGGAGTCGACTCAAAAGTCACCAGGTAGCCCTTGGGAGGGGGGAGTCGACTCAAAAGTCACCAGGTAGCCCTTGGGAGGGGGGAGTCGACTCAAAAGTCACCAGGTAGCCCTTGGGAGGGGGGAGTCGACTCAAAAGTCACCAGGTAGCCCTTGGGAGGGGGGAGTCGACTCAAAAGTCACCAGGTAGCCCTTGGGAGGGGGGAGTCGACTCAAAAGTCACCAGGTAGCCCTTGGGAGGGGGGAGTCGACTCAAAAGTCACCAGGTAGCCCTTGGGAGGGGGGAGTCGACTCAAAAGTCACCAGGTAGCCCTTGGGAGGGGGGAGTCGACTCAAAAGTCACCAGGTAGCCCTTGGGAGGGGGGAGTCGACTCAAAAGTCACCAGGTAGCCCTTGGGAGGGGGGAGTCGACTCAAAAGTCACCAGGTAGCCCTTGGGAGGGGGGAGTCGACTCAAAAGTCACCAGGTAGCCCTTGGGAGGGGGGAGTCGACTCAAAAGTCACCAGGTAGCCCTTGGGAGGGGGGAGTCGACTCAAAAGTCACCAGGTAGCCCTTGGGAGGGGGGAGTCGACTCAAAAGTCACCAGGTAGCCCTTGGGAGGGGGGAGTCGACTCAAAAGTCACCAGGTAGCCCTTGGGAGGGGGGAGTCGACTCAAAAGTCACCAGGTAGCCCTTGGGAGGGGGGAGTCGACTCAAAAGTCACCAGGTAGCCCTTGGGAGGGGGGAGTCGACTCAAAAGTCACCAGGTAGCCCTTGGGAGGGGGGAGTCGACTCAAAAGTCACCAGGTAGCCCTTGGGAGGGGGGAGTCGACTCAAAAGTCACCAGGTAGCCCTTGGGAGGGGGGAGTCGACTCAAAAGTCACCAGGTAGCCCTTGGGAGGGGGGAGTCGACTCAAAAGTCACCAGGTAGCCCTTGGGAGGGGGGAGTCGACTCAAAAGTCACCAGGTAGCCCTTGGGAGGGGGGAGTCGACTCAAAAGTCACCAGGTAGCCCTTGGGAGGGGGGAGTCGACTCAAAAGTCACCAGGTAGCCCTTGGGAGGGGGGAGTCGACTCAAAAGTCACCAGGTAGCCCTTGGGAGGGGGGAGTCGACTCAAAAGTCACCAGGTAGCCCTTGGGAGGGGGGAGTCGACTCAAAAGTCACCAGGTAGCCCTTGGGAGGGGGGAGTCGACTCAAAAGTCACCAGGTAGCCCTTGGGAGGGGGGAGTCGACTCAAAAGTCACCAGGTAGCCCTTGGGAGGGGGGAGTCGACTCAAAAGTCACCAGGTAGCCCTTGGGAGGGGGGAGTCGACTCAAAAGTCACCAGGTAGCCCTTGGGAGGGGGGAGTCGACTCAAAAGTCACCAGGTAGCCCTTGGGAGGGGGGAGTCGACTCAAAAGTCACCAGGTAGCCCTTGGGAGGGGGGAGTCGACTCAAAAGTCACCAGGTAGCCCTTGGGAGGGGGGAGTCGACTCAAAAGTCACCAGGTAGCCCTTGGGAGGGGGGAGTCGACTCAAAAGTCACCAGGTAGCCCTTGGGAGGGGGGAGTCGACTCAAAAGTCACCAGGTAGCCCTTGGGAGGGGGGAGTCGACTCAAAAGTCACCAGGTAGCCCTTGGGAGGGGGGAGTCGACTCAAAAGTCACCAGGTAGCCCTTGGGAGGGGGGAGTCGACTCAAAAGTCACCAGGTAGCCCTTGGGAGGGGGGAGTCGACTCAAAAGTCACCAGGTAGCCCTTGGGAGGGGGGAGTCGACTCAAAAGTCACCAGGTAGCCCTTGGGAGGGGGGAGTCGACTCAAAAGTCACCAGGTAGCCCTTGGGAGGGGGGAGTCGACTCAAAAGTCACCAGGTAGCCCTTGGGAGGGGGGAGTCGACTCAAAAGTCACCAGGTAGCCCTTGGGAGGGGGGAGTCGACTCAAAAGTCACCAGGTAGCCCTTGGGAGGGGGGAGTCGACTCAAAAGTCACCAGGTAGCCCTTGGGAGGGGGGAGTCGACTCAAAAGTCACCAGGTAGCCCTTGGGAGGGGGGAGTCGACTCAAAAGTCACCAGGTAGCCCTTGGGAGGGGGGAGTCGACTCAAAAGTCACCAGGTAGCCCTTGGGAGGGGGGAGTCGACTCAAAAGTCACCAGGTAGCCCTTGGGAGGGGGGAGGTTGGGGGGGAAAGAGGAGGTTGCATTGTGTGTGGTGCAGATTGGAAGGGTAGTACTCTGCCCCGCCCTACCAGTCACACCACGCACCTCAGTGCCCTTGATTTGTGTATATCCGAAAGTGATACCCTTGTTATAGTCACAGTCACACTCCATCACGTACCACGGTGCCCTTGACCTGAGTGTCCATCTGCTCCCCATCCATCACCGCCTTGGAGATCCCAGATTCAGCACTGCATGCCCACACGCCTCTACCCACAATGCACTAGCGTCACATGCGCTTATAGTCACAACAGATTCACCTTTTTACAGTCACGTACCACGGTGCCCTTGACCTGCGTGTCCAGCTGCTCCCCTTCCATCACCGCCTTGGAGATCCCAAAGTCTGCCACCTTCGCCTCCCCCGCTGCTGTGACCAGGATGTTGGCCGTCTGTGGTGGGGTGGGGTGGGGTGGGGAGAGATGGGGAAAGGTGGGTGGGGGGCAGATGATAAGTGTTTGCAGAAGATAAGAGTGGGATCCCAAAGTTCACCAAAGTTTCCTGGTCGTTGAAGGTGTAGGTAGGCTTTCAGTCACGCATGCCATTGCACGTCCCCCGCATACACACTCTCTAATCGTCCCCAGCACTTTCATCTCTCCCTCCCACCTTCACGTCTCGGTGAATGATGGGCGGCTTGATCTGATGGTGCAGGTAGGCGAACCCCCTGGCTGCCCCACATGCGATGTCCAACCGCTGCTGCCACATCAGGTGGAGGTCGGACTTGCCTGGTGCATTGGGAGGGAGCGAGCGAATACGAGGGGAGAGGGAAGGGGGGAAATAGCTTCACACCGCAGCACCCTCTCAGCACCCTCTCGCACCACTCAGCCGCAGCACCTCAGCTCACCTCGCATCACACACAGCAGCGGGGGCAATCTTGGATTCTCGCCTTGAAGCACCACTCTAAACCATTTAACATACCTCACCTTTAAGAATGTCTTCCAGAGTGCCCTTCTCAATGAACTCATACACCAACAGCTGCTCGCCCGCTTCCACACAGAAGCCCCGCAGCTGCACCAGGTTGCACCTGTTCCCCACCATCAACTCCCCACCCACAGCACCTTCTCTCACCACTCGGGACCACCATACACCCTTTTCAACACCGCTCCTCACCTCTGAGAATGTCTTCCAGACTGCCCTTCTCAATGAATTCATACACCAACAGCTGCTCCCCTGCCTCCACACAGAAGCACCTCAGCAGCACCAGGTTGCACCAATGCCACATGATGAGCCTTCTCACCTCTCCGAAACACTCTACACCCTTCAATAAACCTAGATTCACCTCTGAGAATGTCTTCCAGGGTGCCCTTTTCAATGAATTCATACACCAGCAGTTCCTCCCCCGCTTCCACACAGAAGCCCCTGAACAACACCCCAGGTTGCACCAACGCTACATCAAAAGCTCTCTCACCTCTCAGCACCACTCTACCCCCATTAAATTTCTTAAACACACCTCTGAGAATGTCTTCCAGGGTGCCCTTTTCAATGAATTCATACACCAACAGCTGCTCCCCTGCTTCCACACAGAAGCCCCTGAGCAGCACCAGGTTGCGGTGCCTCACTGCCGACAGCAGCTCTATCTCGTTGCGAAACTCTTTCCCATTCACCTGGGGGTGTAGGAAGGTGTAGAACGGCGCAACGGTGTAGAGAGGTTCAAAGGGAGTGTGGTACGGTACAGGGAGGTTAAAAGGAGTGTGGCAAGGTACACAGACGCCCCCTAGTAGCACCAGGTTGCGGTGCCTCACTGCCGACAGCAGCTCTATCTCGTTGCGGAACTCCTTGCCGTTCACCTGGGGGTGTAGGAAGGTGTAGAACGGTGTACCAGTGTAGAGAGGTACAAAGGGAGTGAGGTACAGGGAGGTTAAAAGGAGTGTGGCAAAGTACAAAGGCGCCCCCTAGTAGCACCAGGTTGCGGTGCCGCACAGCCGACAGCAGCTCGATCTCGTTGCGAAATTCCTTGCCGTTCACCTGGGGGCACGGGAGATAGAGATAGAGCTGTCAACAGAAGGGCGAATCTAGAAGGCGAATCCAACAAAAGGATGGGGGCATGTCAAGGGAGTGTGATAGAGAAGGTGCAGGGAGGGACGAGTAAGGGATCAATAGAGGCCCTGTAACAGCACAAAGTTGCAATGTAACGGCACACTGCCAAGAATAGCTCTATTTTCGTTGTGCCCTGTTGACTTTTGAGTCAACTCAAAAGTCAACTCGGCCCTGTAACAGCACAAGGTTGCCACGGCACACTGCCAAGAATAGCTCTATTTTCGTTGTGCCCTCTCAGCTCATCTGCACTCTCAGAAATCACCACTCTCAACCCACCTGCACGCCTGGCTTGGCACGTTTGACCGCCACCTTCTCGCCCGATGGCAGCTCCCCATGGTACACCTGTAGTGTGTATGGTGCGGTGGTGTGGGGTGGCATGGGGTGCGGTGGTGTGGGGTGGCATGGGGTGCGGTGGTGTGGGGTGGCATGGGGTGCGGTGGTGTGGGGTGGCATGGGGTGCGGTGGTGTGGGGTGGCATGGGGTGGGGTGGAGTGGGGTGGCATGGGGTGGGGTGGAGTGGGGTGGCATGGGGTGCGGTGGTGTGGGGTAGGGTGAGCTAAGGTGAGGAACGGTGCAGAGAGGGACGGCTGAGGGAGGGCCGCAGAGCTGTTTCACGGCCACCTTCCCGCCTGATGGTAACAGTCCGTGGCACACCTGTTGCAGAGGGGGCCTGGGGTGGGGTGGGGTGGGGTGTGAAACGGTGCACAAAGAGACTGAAGGGGTCGTTTGAGACTGCCTCCTTCTCGCCTGATGGTAACAGTCCGTGGTACACCTGTTGCAGAGGGGGCCTGGGGTGGGGTGGAATGGGGAGGGGTGGGCTGGGGTTGGGTGGGGTGGGGTTGCGGAAGGGAGCATTGAGAGAGATCGGTGAGTAAGGCAGGTGATAAGGCGTATGGCAGAGGGAGGGACGGAGAGCAAGAGAGGGACAGAGCAGTTCAACACATGGCTAAATCCGCCCCCTTCCACAGAGGCGTGCTAAATCCGCCCCCTTCCACAGAGGCGTGCTAAATCGCTCACCCCCTACCAAGAAGGTCGCACCACAACCCTCTTCGCCGCATCCCTCCCCCCCCACCAACCGCACACTCCCTCTGAAATTTACAACAGCTCACAGCTCTCCACAACAGTTCACATGTGCACCATACACCAGCTCCCACCTGGACATATCCGCCCTCCCCCTGGGTCGCACCCTACCCTCTCTCACCAGCCCCATACTCCCTCCCTTGAGCTCCCATCAGTTCGCACCTGGCCATATCCGCCCTCCCCCAGCAGCGTTTTGAACCCCTGGGTCGCATCTGCCAGCTCTGCCAGTTTGAACCGCTGCACGCCCACCAGGTTCAGCCCCTCTATTGCTTCATAGTCCTCCTCCTTCCACCAATCTGGTTTGGTTAGGCGGGTGGTGAAACGGAGGGCGCACGGGATTGAATGGGGAATGGAGAGTGGTGACACGTGTTTGCCAGCTCCCCCAGTTTGAATCGCTGCACGCCCACCAAGTTCAGGCCTTCTATCGCCTCATAGTCCTCCTTCTTCCACCAGTCTGGTACAACCGTCCTCATAGTGCTTGAGGAGAGGGGAAGGAAGAATATTCATGGTCCTCATTGGATGGTTAAGATGGATGGGGGACTCGCATCGGCCAGCAACTTCGGTTTGAACCGCTGAATATTCAGGCCCTCAGTTGCCCTCGATTGCAGTCCTCCTTCTTCCACCAGGCTGGAGAAGACGGGGATAGCGTGGAGGAAACGGGGGACGTGAAACGGGGCGTGGGGGGGCGGTAGAGGGATGGGAGAGGAATGGGACGTGGGACCACAAGCAGCAAGGCAAGGAGCGCCACTCCTGCTGCCACCACACCCACCACCACTACAAACGGCGAGTAGTGAGTCATTCACGTGATAAAAGTAGTGTTTTGAGACGGCTAAAAAAACAGCATTTATCACGTGGCCATTCGAAAGCTCACCTTGCCTCTTCTGACGGTGCAGCAGGAACCAGGTAAGGCCCACGAGCAGCAGAGCGAGAATCGCCACTCCTGCTGCCACTATACCCACCACCACTGCGATTGAAATCCCCCCTGACTCCGCTGGTGGTGCCTGTGCAGTGACGTTGGCAGGAGGTTCTGGTGGTGTGAGGAAGGTGGGAGTTGAGGGCGAAGGACGAAAGAGAGACCAATGAAGGTGAATAATAATGCAAGTCTGCTCAGAAGCATCTCCTGCTGCCACCACACCCACCGCCACTGCAATTGAACCCCTCCCCGATGCTAGTGACTGTGAAGTGACGTTGGCAGGTGGTTCTGGTGGCATGAGGAAGGTGGGAGTTGAAGGCAAGTGAGCGAGACCAGGGAAGGTGATTAATGAGTTGGCTCAGAAGCAGCCCTTGCTGCCACCGTACCCACCACCACTGCAGCTGAAATCCCCACTAATGCTGGTGCCTGTGACGTAGACGGGGTGGGGCTGAAGGTTCGAGAAGGGGAGGGTGTTTGAGGGACAAAGAAAGGAAGAGAGACTAAGGAAGAAAGGAGGGGGAATACTAAGTCACAGAGGGAGATCCCCCCAGCACTCACACCAGCAGCAGCAGCACAAGACAGCACTCACCATTCGGGCCGAATGCCCCCCCTGGATGCTCTATGGCCCCTTGGCGAGGCCCAGTGAGAGCTTGCGGGCATCAAAGAGATTGTGGGAGGCAAGGCACGCAGCAAACTCACCAGCACTCACACCAGCAGCAACACCACCCACCCAGCACTCACCATCCGGGCTACCTTTCTACGGGTTCATATCCATCCCAAGGGTCCTTTTGACCGGCAGCACTCACGCCAGCAGCACTCACGCCAGCAGCACTCACGCCAGCAGCACTCACGCCAGCAGCAACACAGCATGGCACTCACCATCCGAGCCGTAGAACCCTTTGATGGTATACGGCCCCATGGCAGAGCCCAGAGAGAGCTTGCGGGCGTCCAGGCACACGCAGATAGCTCAGCAGCACACATAGTCTCACCACAGCAGCAGCACGGGGCTACACTCACGGCACTCACCATCCGGGCCATAGAACCCTTTGATGGTGTATGGCCCCATGGCAGAGCCCAGAGAGAGCTTGTGGGCGTCAAAGAGAGAGCGGATCCTCGTCTTCTGTGTGCTGGCCGGCTCGTTCACCCATGTGGGGTCGTCGAGAGGCGGGAAGAAGATGAGAGTCACGGTGACGTCGCTGTCCATGGCAATGGGGACCACGATGCTGCCGATGATGACCTGATGGGGTTATGGGGGGGGATGCGCAGAGGAAGAGAGGGGTGGGAGGAAGATGAGAGTCACGGTGACGTCGCTGTCCATGGCAATGGGGACCACGATGCTGCTGATGATGACCTGATGGGGTTATGGGGGGGGATGCGCAGAGGAAGAGAGGGGTGGGAGGAAGATGAGAGTCACGGTGACGTCGCTATCCATGGCAATGGGGACCACGATGCTGCTGATGATGATCTATTGAGGGGGGGGGGGAGGAGGGTGGGAGGAGAGGGGGGATTGGGTGAGGAGGAGGGGGATGGGCAGAGGAGGAGAGAGAAGGAAAGAAGGCACAGTCATGGTGAGGACTCCATGTGACTTTTGAGTGACTTTTGAGAATTCTCAAAAGTCACTCCAATATAGAATTCTCAAAAGAGAATTCTCAAAAGTCATGGTGAGGACTCCATGTGACTTTTGAGTCGACTCAAAAGGACGCCTTGTGAGGTTGTAGGTTATAATGGTGCTGAGAATAATCTGATGAGTTGGGGGAGGAGGAACATAGCGGGGAGAGAGGGGAGGAGAGAGGGAGGGAGGGAAGGAGAGAAGGATGACGGCGGGAGGAGAAGATGAGCTGGGGACGAGAGAGGCGGGGAATGGGGGGCTATAAAGTGGGGGAGAGGGGAGGAGGAAGGGGCGGAGGAGAGAGGAATGAAGAAGAGCAAAGACGAGAGTCTTGATAAATTGTGCTCTCTCCCATCAACCCACCCACCCATCCACCCTACCACCCGCCCTCCCATCCACCGTCGCACCCTCCCATTCACTCACCCACCCACCCACCCACCCACCCACCTGCTCGATTTGTCAACTAGAAAAACAATAACCGCCCATCCACGCACGCACCTGCTGCCACTGCATCCACACGCACCTGCTGCCACTGCATCCACACGCCCTGACGATGCAAGCTGCGTTGCAGCCACCCCTTGACCTTCTTCACAACATCTTGGTTGTATGCGGTGTACTGCGGTGCCAGCATCCTCAGCTGCACCCTCAGCGTCGTCACGCACTGGCAGTCGTGGTTCGAAAGGGCGAAATGCGGGAAGCTGGGAGCATCGAAGGTGCCGTTGCAGGTGATGTCTGGGCAGTATTCAGGGAAGGTGTATTTGGGGAACTCGACGGGGGGGGAGCAGACGGTGAAGAGGTTGGGCCGGTATGGCGAGCAGAGGGGATTGCCGTAGAGCCTGGAAAGGGGTGGAGAGGGGTGGAGAGGGGTGGAGAGGTGCAGACGGTGAAGCTTTGGCCGATAGGGCGAGCAGAGGGGATTGTTGTAGAGCCTGGATCGGGGTGGATGGAGAGGAGAGAGGGGTAGAGATGGGTTGGGCCGGGAGAGGATGGGGGTTAGGGGAGGGGAAGGACGAGAGCTGTTGGGTTAGCATGAGATGAGAAGCCGTGTGGGCGGAATTCCAAGTGTGCAGACGAGTAAGTGTGCAGACGAGTAAGTGTGCAGACGAGTAAGTGTGCAGACGAGTAAGTGTGCAGACGAGTAAGTGTGCAGACGAGTAAGTGTGCAGACGAGTAAGTGTGCAGACGAGTAAGTGTGCAGACGAGTAAGTGTGCAGACGAGTAAGTGTGCAGACGAGTAAGTGTGCAGACGAGTAAGTGTGCAGACGAGTAAGTGTGCAGACGAGTAAGTGTGCAGACGAGTAAGTGTGCAGACGAGTAAGTGTGCAGACGAGTAAGTGTGCAGACGAGTAAGTGTGCAGACGAGTAAGTGTGCAGACGAGTAAGTGTGCAGACGAGTAAGTGTGCAGACGAGTAAGTGTGCAGACGAGTAAGTGTGCAGACGAGTAAGTGTGCAGACGAGTAAGTGTGCAGACGAGTAAGTGTGCAGACGAGTAAGTGTGCAGACGAGTAAGTGTGCAGACGAGTAAGTGTGCAGACGAGTAAGTGTGCAGACGAGTAAGTGTGCAGACGAGTATAATCTGCGTATTCAACCACAACGGTTCTGTTCACGAGGAGGTTGGTCGCTTGGAGCACTAGTGAAGCGGTTGCTGTAGAGTGGGGAGCAGCCTCAAATCAGTCGACTGACATGTCACAAGAGTGGTTGTTGTCGAGCGGGGAGCAGCTTCAAATCAAAAGCCCTCTCCCCCTCCCCTCCCTCCCCCCCTCTCTCCTGCATTTCCAACCACTCACTGGGTCATGAGGCTGTCCTTGGTATTGTTGGTTCTGTTCTCGACGAGGTTGGCTGGAGCTGCCTCAAATCAAAAGCCTCCTCCCCACCCCCCCCACCTTCCCGTGTATTTACAACCACTCACTGGGTCATGAGGCTGTCCTTGGTGTTGTTGGTTGGGTTAACCAATAAGTCGCTTGCAGCACTTGTGAATCGGTTATCATAGAGCGATAGGTGTTGAGCCACCTCCGAGATTTGGTCTCAGTGCCTTACAAGTGATACAGAAGAGCCACTCACTGGGTCATGAGGTCGTTCTTGGTGTTGTTGGTTGGGTTAACCAGGAGGTCGCTTGCAGCACCGGTGAAGTGGTTATCGTAGAGCGATAGGAACATCAATTCGGGGAGCCGCCGCAGGTTGGGGATGTTTCCCGTCAGGTTGTTTCCAGACAGGGATCTGTGCGGAGCGGGTGTTGAGAGCAGTGGGTGTTTGAGAGGAGCGGGTGTTGAGAGCAGTGGGTGTTTGAGAGGAGCGGATGTTGAGAGCAGTGGGTGTTTGAGAGGAGCGGGTGTTGAGAGGAGCGGGTGTTGAGAGGAGCGGGTGTTGAGAGGAGCGGGTGTTGAGAGGAGCGGGTGTTGAGAGGAGCGGGTGTTGAGAGGAGCGGGTGTTGAGAGGAGCGGGTGTTGAGAGGAGCGGATGTTTGAGAGGAGCGGGTGTTGAGAGCAGTGGGTGTTTGAGAGGAGCGGGTGTTGAGAGGAGCGAGTGTTGAGAGGAGCGGGTGTTGAGAGGAGCGGGTGTTGAGAGGAGCGGGTGTTGAGAGGAGCGGGTGTTGAGAGGAGCGGGTGTTTGAGACGGGTGTTGGGTGTTTATAGGAACTGCTGCTGCTCCGGGGAACAGGTACAATGAAATAGAGTATGTGAACTATACTCTTGGGTAAGTTGGGCCTTACATTGTAGCGAGATAGGTAAGCTTGCGGTCATCGGGAGGTATGGTTCCCGTGAGATTGACTTTTGAATCGACTCAAAAGTCAACTCGGGCGGGCCTTACAGTGTAGCGAGATTAGGCAAGCTTGCGGTGGCTGCATCGGGAGGTATGGTTCCCGTGAGATTGTTGTTTTGGAGGTTTCTGCCGGCAAGGGGGTGGGGGTGGTGGGGGTGGTGGCGGTGGTGGGGGAGGAGAGGAGGGATGGTGACTTTTGAGTAGACTCAAAATTCCGGGAGATATGGTCCCCGTGAGATTGTTGTTTTGTAGGTTTCTGCTGGCAAGGAATTGGGATTGGAGGAGGGACGGTGGGAAAAGGGGGGGTCGGGAGGAGGAACAGTGGGGTGGGAGAGAAAAGATTGATCGATTCAAAAAAGGAGATCGATCTGAAACGAGACGCACTTTCTGAGATGCTTTACAAGATATGAAGAGACGAATAGAGGCTATTATTGTGAGTGCACCCCTGCAAGAGCACACATCAGGGCTTACATGGTGACGAGATTGGAATGGGAAGTGAAGAGGGAGGAGGGAATGGGACCTGTGAACTGGTTGTCGTTCAATTCCCTGCAGAAGAGGAAGGGGGGTTGGTGATGGTGGGGAGGGTTGACTTTGAGTTGACTCAGAAGATTGGAATGGGAAGTGAAGAGGGAGGGGGGAATGGGACCTGTGAACAGGTTGTCGTTCAATTCCCTGCGGAAGAGGATTCGGGAAGGGGGGTTGGTGATGGTGGGGAGTGAAAACAAAAGAAGTTTTTGCAAGTACGGTCCTTTGACTGGTCTAGAAAAATGGAAACACCCGCGATAGTTTCGAAGGACATAAGTGCACAGGGGTCATGCCATGGCATGCATTGCATGACACTGTATGGCATGGCACGGCACCACACCATCGCACGGCATGGCTTGACATGGCATGGCATGGATTGGCACGGCATGGCATGGCAAGGCATGGCATGGCAAGGCATGTCATAGCACAGCAGGGCATGTCATGGCATGGCACGGCACAGCACCACACGAAATGGCATGGCATGGCATGGCATGGCATGACACGAACACACGCACAGGTCAGCAAGGGCAGTTAGGCCGTCGAAAGAGGGCAGATGCTGGGGCGGCAAGTTGCAGTTGCAGAGCATCCTGATGGGAATACAGGTGATCGGGGCAATGGGCACACAATTCCCATACACGGTAACCGTGTGGGTCATGGTGCAGTCACACGCAAACCGGAGTGAGAAGGTCAGAAGGTCAGAAGGTCAGAAGGTCTAGGGAAATCTGCAGAGGCACAGCACACGTCCGAGAGTCAGAACGTCTGAGGAACAGCCACGTGAGGTGAGGGTGTTTTTGAGAGTCAGAACGTCTGAGGAGCTATGAGGAGCTGGTAAAATTCGGGAAGAGGCTTAGGCAGCAATCTGCTGCAGTTGCAGGGGATTCTCATGGGAGTGGGTGCATGAGAGGTGAGTCTGAGATGATCCCCTAGGTCGACCCAAGAACAAGGCACAGTAGCAGAGGAGCCTGATGGGAGCGGGTGGGACTGTGAGAATTCTCAAAAAGAGCCTGGTGGGAGTGGGTGAGTGAGTGGGGGCGATGAGATTTGTATGTTAACATGTGGCATGAGTGGAAGAAGGAGAGTGGAGGTGGCCAGAAAGTGAGGGCAAGGGGTGAGGGGAGTGGATGGAGCATGAGGGGTGATGCGAGGGGAGGAGGTGCAAGGGGTTGTGGGAGGGGGTGATGGGAGCGGTGAATATGGGAACGGCGGCATTTATGCAGAGGGCGAGAGAGGGGCGACAGTCACACAAGTGATGTTTCGTCTCAAGTCCCGAGGTACTTATCTATACGCACACTCACAGGCCTTGTGTTACTTAGTGCCTTGTGCTACTTAGTGCCTTGTGCTATTTACGGGATTATATTCGAAAATCACACTCACAGGCTCTCTAAACGATACATGCTGAGACGAGGGATTGTTGTTGCTAGGGTGCGTTTTGAGTCGACTCAAAATGAGGTGACGTTTGAGTCGACTAAAAGCTCCACACTTACAGGCTCTCCAGAGAAGACATGTCGAGACGAGGGATTGTCCCTGATATCTTGTTGTTGCTTAGATCACTACATCAGGAGGGGGACCAGCGGAAAAAAGAGATTGAGACTGGGATATAATGGGGAGGAGTAGCAGAGGAGTGGTTTTCAGCTGTTTTTGTTTGGTGGAGACTGTATCTCTATGTATGTATATGTGTGCATGCATATATGTATACATGTTGGAAATATGGAGATGGGATAGAATAGGGGAGGAGGAGGAGCGGAAGGGAGATAAAGCATGCACGACCTTTACTAGCAAGCGGAACAGTAGCACACTTGTTACAAATGAGAAATACTTCAAAAAATGAGCACACACACACACACATACACACACACACAGACACACACACACACACACACACACACACACACACACGCACGCACGCACGCACGCACGCACGCACACACGCACACAATGCTGGTGCAACCAGCGATGCATGCTGCAAAGGTGTGCTTCCAGCAGCAGAACCAAGGCTAAGCATTCCGGGATTATTAGGCTGGTGGAATTAGAAATCCATGTTGGTAAGGGGTGGTACTAAACACAGAACGAACACAGAACAAACACAGAACAGAACCAAGCCAAGAACCAAGCCAAGAACCAAGCCAAGAACCAAGCCAAGAACCAAGCCAGGAACCAAGCCAAGAACCAAGCCAAGAACCAAGCCAAGACAGGATAAGCATTACAGGATTTTAAGGCTTCTGGAGTAATTGATCCATGCTGGAAAGGCGTGGTTCAGCCGGTTGTTGTCCACCAGGCTGGTGGTAGTCGGGGGGGGTGAGGGGGCATAGATAAACAGAAAGAGGGGTGTCCCTCAGGGAGGCGAACCGGTTGGTGCCCACCGGGAACGTTGTGTCTAACGACGGGGCGGGGAACTGGAATACATTCCTCGGGGAAAGCACGGCCTTCTTCAGCCTTCTTCAGCCTTCATCGGCCTTCATCGGCCTTCTTCAGCCTTCATCGGCCTTCATCGGCCTTCTTCAGCCTTCATCGGCCTTCATCGGCCTTCTTCAGCCTTCATCGGCCTTCATCGGCCTTCTTCAGCCTTCATCGGCCTTCATCAGCCTTCATCGGCCTTCTTCAGCCTTCATCGGCCTTCTTCAGCCTTCTTCAGCCTTCATCAGCCTTCTTCAGCCTTCATCGGCCTTCATCGGCCTTCTTCAGCCTTCATCGGCCTTCATCGGCCTTCATCGGCCTTCTTCAGCCTTCATCGGCCTTCTTCAGCCTTCATCGGCCTTCTTCAGCCTTCATCGGCCTTCATCGGCCTTCATCAGCCTTCATCAACGTTTAGAGTAACACTACCTTCAGATTCCTCATTCTAAAGCCCTTCTTAGCGTTTCATAGTCTCTCAAGCGTTTTTCATGGTACGAGAACTCTTTAATCACAGCATTACAATACAGTGTTCAGCTACAGATGCGAGGATAGATGAGTTAGAAGCCATGTGTAAAAAGTGAATTTTTGAGACGTCTCAAAAATTACAATACAGTCTTCAGCTACAGATGCGAGGATAGATGGGTTAGAGAAAATATTGATTCGTATGTGGCATGCCTTTCCATACTGCTCATTTACAGCTTTGTTACACGGATTGACGTACGTAACTCTTGACATACAGATGAATGAGTTTCTTAAGCGAGCCAATGGCAGAAGAGAGACCGGTGAACTTGTTGTTACTCAGATGCCTGCAGGTGGTAGGGAGATACGGGGTGCAGCGGGCGGGGAGGAGGGGAGGGGGAGGAGCGTGGTTACTAACAGACCAGTAACAAGGGAACCATGGCAGGAGAGGGACTGGTGAACTGGCTGTTACCCAGATGCCTGCAGGTGGAAGGGAGTTAGGAAGGTGGTAGGGAGATAGGGGGGCAGGCAGGGAGCGGGGGAGGGAAGTGGTTGAGAAGAGGTCTGTGAAAAAGAAAAACACCAGGGCAGCAGAGAGCTGTGAAGCAGTTGTTACTCAGATGCCTGAGGTTGGAGGAGAGATAGGAGGGTGGGGACGTGGGGGAAGTAGGTGCGTGAGGTGCAGTGAGGTCCAGCGAGTGAGGTGCAGTGAGGTGCAGTGAGGGGCAGTGAGGGGCAGTGAGGTGCAGTGAGGTGCAGTGAGGTGCAGTGAGGTGCAGTGAGGGGCAGTGAGGAGCAGTGAGGTGCAGTGAGGGGCAGTGAGGAGCAGTGAGGGGCAGTGAGGAGCAGTGAGGGGCAGTGAGGTGCAGCGAGGGGCAGTGAGGGGCAGCGAGGGGCAGTGAGGTGCAGCGAGGGGCAGTGAGGTGCAGCGAGGGGCAGTGAGGTGCAGCGAGGGGCAGTGAGGTGCAGCGAGGGGCAGTGAGGTGCAGCGAGGGGCAGTGAGGTGCAGCGAGGGGCAGTG